CTGTACTTCGTCTTCTGCGTGGACTCCTCGGAGAGCGAGCTGGGCATCCTGGACCTCATCCAGGTCGGTCTCTCTGCTGTCAGGTTTGCTTTCCCCCAAAGCACGGCTCTCACCGGGCAACCCGGCCACAACACCTTCCAGGTGCCCTTCGTGTCTGCGGCACCTCCGCGCTGTCCTGCTGGAAAGGGCTGTGGAGCTGCTCTGGGGGCTGCCATGGGGAGGGGGAGCTGCACACGCCTGACCACAGCTCCCACGCATGGAAGCAGCAGGAGAACTCAATCCAAATGGATTCATTTAAAAAATAGAATCACAGAATCATTGAGGCTGGCAAAGATCCTTAAGATCATCGAGTCCAACCACAAACCTCACACTGCCAAGTCCATCACGTCCCTAAACGCCACATCCACCCAAATTGTAAATAGCTCCAGGGATGGTGACTCAGACACTTATCTGGGCAGCCTGTTCCAGTGCTTGACAACCCTTTTGGTGAAGAAATTCCTCCTCAAATCCAATGTAAACCTCCCCTGGTACAACTGGAGCCCATTTCCTCTTGTCCTGTCCCTTGCTCCTTGGTTGAACAGACCCACCCCCACCTCTCTCCACCCTCCTCCAAGGGACTTGCACAGAGCCACAAGGTCTCCCCTCAGCCTCCTTTTCTCCAGGCTCAACACCCCCAGTTCCCTCAGCCACAAGGGAACTCAGCACACTTGTGCTCCAGACCCTTCCCCAGCTCCGTTCCCTTCTCTGGACACGCTCCAGCACCTCCATGTCCTCCTTGGAGTCAGGGACCCAAAGCTACAAGTTCATTTTAAAAATTGTGTTCAAACACTGTGGCCTTGTAAAGGGACCTTTGCCAAATCCGGCTAACAGCAGGCGTGCGAGTGTGGCACGGTGACCAGCCCTTGTCCCAGTGCTGTGACAGATCAGGACATTGACACCTGGGCTTTCACCCACAACAGCCAAGTCCTGTGTATTCAGCTGCGTCCAAGCCTGGAGCCCCCAACACAAGAAAGGTGTGGAGCTGTTGGAGCGGGGCCAGAGCAGAGCCAGGAAGATGGTCAGAGGGCTGGAGCACCTCTCTGCTGGAGAAAGGCTGAGAGAGCTGGGCTTGTTGAGCTTGGAGAAGAGAAGGCTCCAGGGAGAGCTCGTTACAGCCTTCCAGTAATTGAAGGGAGTTTAGAAACAGGAGGGAGGGCGACTTCTGACATGGGCAGAGAGTGACAGGACAAGGAGGAAATTTTCACCCAGAGAGTGGTGAGACCCTGGCCCAGGTTGCCCAGAGAATCCCTGGAAGTGTTTGTGGCCAGGTTGGATGAGGCTTTGAGCAACCTGGTCTAGTGGAAGGTGTCCCTGCTGCTGGCAGGGGGGTTGGAACTGGATGGGTTTTGTCCCCGCTCAGGGTGACACCCCGGGGCACAAGTTTCTGGTCGGGGCTCTGTGGGAAGCATCTCACGTTGGTCTGTGCTGACCTTCCCTTCCTGCCCCTTGCAGGTGTTTGTGGAGACGCTGGACAAGTGCTTTGAGAATGTCTGTGAGCTGGACCTCATCTTCCACATGGACAAGGTGGGTGGTGGGCTCTGCGTGCTCCTCCAGGCCAGCACCATCGTTCCCCCCAGTGCCTGGCTGCCCTGGAGCCCAGCTCTCCCTAGAGCCCGTGCTCCCTCGGGCAGGAACCGGCCCGGCCTTGTGCTCTGGAGCCTTTCAGGAGAAGCCGTTGGTAGGTTCAGAGTCACTTTTTGGGGAGACATTGAAATCCAGGATAGGGAAGTTGTCAGCGTAGGGTCTTTGTAAGCTGCTCACGTCACAGCATCCCAGAATGGCCTGGATTGGAAAAGCCCTTTAAGCTCATCGGGTCCAACCATAAACCCAACACTGACCAGTCCCTGACTAACCCATGTCCCTCAGCACTGTGTCTACATGACTCTTCAATCCCTCCAGGGATGGGGACTCCACCACTGCCCTGGGCAACCCCTTCCAATGCCTCAGAACCCTTGCAGCAAAGAAATTCTTCCTCACATCCCATCTCAACTGCCCTGGCCACAACTGAACCCAGCACTTGAGCTGCAGCCTCACCAGTGCCCAGTCCAGGGGGAAGAGAACTTCCCTGGTCCTACTGGCCACACTGGTGCTGATCCAGGTCAAGTGGTGGGTCCAACTGAGGCTTCACTTTTGGTTGTCTCCACGGGCTGGCACTGATGGAGCTGGGGGGGTTCCAGGGATGTTTCACCTCTTCTCTGCACCGTGGGACCCATTGGGACTCTTGTTAATGTTTTACTAGAGCTGCAGGGAAAAAAAGGGAAGGAACAATGGGAGTGTTTGGAATACAAATGTTTGGTAAACTTTTGTTTGAGCCACAGCCTGTGATGCTTCCTCTTTAGCTGGACAGTTTCTGGGCGGAAACCCATCCTCTTTGATCATCTCATAGATGGGGCGGGAGATAGCCACGACTGTGCTTAGGGAAAGGAGAGGCTGGGCTGACGTGGGCTGGACTGTTGTTGCTGTTGATAAGGGTTTTCTTGCTTTGTTGAAGACAAAACATGCCAACAAAAAAAAAAAAAAAAAGAGGAATGGAAAAAAATCAATAAGGGCTGTAAAATGTTTCCTTTCTGTGGGCGATCCCAACTTATGAACTCTGGCAGAGAAATGGAGTTAGCAAATCTTGGAAGGCAATCTGGATCAGCTGAATGGACTAGCAACTGGTGAAGTAAGACTTTGATTTCATAATTTGCCCGGTTGTAAACTTTCAGACATGCTACAACGTTGATTATCTCGTCAGCAACAGCGTTCTTATCAAAGGAGAGGAAGGAGGAAGTCAGGAGGAAGGAGGAGCACCTGCAGGAGAGCGATAGCAGCCACCGTCACCTCTGGCCACATCTGGGGGAGGATGCGCTCCCAGTTACTTGTTTCGTGGCGTGACCAAGACCCGGCAGCTTTACTCTCAGTCTGCAGGCAGAGGCAGGGGACGTTACCCTCTTGCTTGTCTCTTTTGCCAGCAGTAGCAGGGATGGTCCTTCCTCTGGACCCTCCTGCCAGGCGAAGGGTTCAAAGGAGTCGGGAGGTTTCTGACTGGGGAGACACTGGGCTCGGTCACCCCCCGGCTCTCCCACCAGTTGGGCTTGTTGACTTCCCGTCCCGTGCTCCTGCTGCTTCCCAGCCTTGACTTCAGCCTTGGCCGCTATCAGTGGGTCCTCTCCTCTTTTGTTCTATATCTGGCACGTGTTTACTTCTCAGACGTGTCCGTGTTGAGTGCCCGTGGGGTGGGTGGGCAGATGGGTGGTGTTAGGGGTGGTGGGAAGACACCCGTGTGTCCTGGTGGTCCCTGGGTCTCACCCCTTGGATGCCTGGGCAGGGTTTCTGTGACTGTGCTGATGTCCCAGCGCTCCCACTCAGCCCTGCTGCTGGGCTTTCCCTGTGCCAAGGGCCGTGCAGGGCCCTGGCAGACAAGTTGCAGTTGGTCAGTTCCTGACTAAAACGGGAGAGGAGGCAGATTTGTTGAGCAGACTTTGGCTGTGGACATCCCCAACCCAGCAGGTCCTGGCTGGGATTTGGGTGCAGCTTTTTCTGGGTCCCGTGATTTTCTTTCCTTGCCTTAGGATCCACCTTACGCGCTGTAGGCAGCACAGGGGCGGTGAAATGAGAGCTGCTGCGGGTTTCGGTCCCTGCTCTCGCTGCGGGCAGCTGGATGGGGCTGACGGGTCTGTGGTTCTCAGGCACCAGTGGCACCAGTGTGTGTAGGCTGTCGGCTTTGGGAGCAGCACCCTCGGAGCTGCCGGGATCCCTCTCTCACAAGGGGAGGCTGGAGCCACGGAGCTGTGGGGCGGCTCAGAGGAGGCTGTTGCCCAGCCCCTGGATGTTCTTCATACCTTGGAGGAGAACGTGATTTTCGCTAAGCAGCTGCGAGGTCCTGGAGAGGACAGGCTTTGTTCAGGAAGCACTGTGTTTCGGTTTGGAAAACAAAGCTTACTTGGGATTTCTGCCCTGTTGGTTTTGATCCAACTTGGGCTGAAGCCAGATCTTGAAGGAACAACATTTCCTGCAGCCCAGATGCTCTCCTGTCATGGGGAGCTGCGAGCACCGGCCGGCACGGTGTGGGCTGAGCTGAGGCTGCGCTGCGGGACAGGACAGTGGTTCCAGGGCTGTGGGACAGGACAGCAGTTCTGGGGCTGCAGGACAGTGGTTCCAGGGCTGTGGGACAGGACAGCAGTTCTGGGGCTGCAGGACAGTGGTTCCAGGGCTGTGGGACAGGACAGCAGTTCTGGGGCTGCAGGACAGTGGTTCCAGGGCTGTGGGACAGGACAGCAGTTCTGGGGCTGCAGGACAGTGGTTCCAGGGCTGTGGGACAGGACAGCAGTTCTGGGGCTGCAGGACAGTGGTTCCAGGGCTGTGGGACAGGACCTTCTGAGGTGGCAGAACAGTGGTGCGAGGGCTGCGGGACAGGACAGTGGTTCCAGGGCTGTGGGACAGGACAGAGGTTCCAGGGCTGTGGGACAGGACAGCGGTTCCAGGGCTGTGGGACAGGACAGTGGTTCCAGGGCTGTGGGACAGGACAGTGGTTCCAGGGCTGCGGGTGTCCCAGGAAGGTGCTCTATCGCCCGTGGTTTGCCCTGTGTGGTGCGGATCCCGCACACCTTGCTGCTCCTGGTGCTGTTGGAGCAGGACGCGACCCGTGGGGAGCCCGGCGGGGTGTCAGGCTCACTGTTGGCACAGAGCTGGCTTCCCCCTTGTAGCAGGTTCCCTCACTTGGGTTATTTTTCACAGCATTGCCACAGGGCAGTGTTTGCCACACGGAGTTACAGGTGCAGCTTACCCTCATGGAGCCATAAAACAATGTCATAACTTCACCAGCTTCCAGTAATCACCGATTTCAGGGAAGGAACCAGAGACCCATAAATTCATTATCTGTGCTGGGTGGTTGTTGGGAGCTGCTGACTCAGCAAGGAAGCGGCTGTGGGGGGTGGCGGGGGGAGCAGCAGACCCCGGGGAGGGGCACAGACTCTCTCGGTGGTTTTGTGCTTTTTTGGTGCCTCTGTCACCATCTGTCCTAAGAGAGAAAGCGGAGAAGTTTCGCTCCAACCTGGCATTCTGGGAAGAAAAAAATAGTTCTGGGAGGAAGTGTCCTGCCCGGTGTGGTGGCTCTGGGTGGCCCTGGGGCCTCTGCTGCCCTGTGGGCTCCTCTGCAGCACATTTTCTAGGCAGGGAGCTGTTCCCAGGTGTCACCCAGCCCCGTCTCTGAGGGCTGCCCTGTGCTTAGTGCTCCCTTGGGTGACGTTTGCTCCGGCCTCAGTGGAGGTGTCCTCCAGAGCAGAACCATGAGCAGTAAGTGGGGCTGACAGACTCCCCCTGTGCTGAGGACCACAGCCACCCTCGTGCTCTCTGGGACTGTGTGGGCTGAGGGGAGAATGGGGCTGGATTTGTGTCTCTCAGGGAAATGTTGGCCCCTAATGTGCTTCCACACCAGCCTGCTGGCACCGTGCCCACTGTGCTCCTGACCAGTCCGTGCTGGGCTGGCGCTGCAGCCTTCCCTTCCCTCCCTTCCCTCCCTTCCCTTGCAGGTTCACCACATCCTGCAGGAGATGGTGATAGGTGGCATGGTGCTGGAGACCAACATGAATGAGATCGTGGCTCAGGTGGAAGCCCAGAGCAAGCTGGAGAAGGCGGAGGTGAGTGGTGATGCCGCGGCTCTTCCCGTGGGAGGCTGATGGACTCCAGGGTGCGAGGGGGGGACGGACTGTGGGGTCTGGAGCTGACATGTGGGGTGCCACTGCTATCCCTGGTCTCTCTGCCTCAGTCCTCCAGGAGAGGCCTGGGGGGTCCCTCCCCAGCTGTGCTTCTCACTGCTTAGAATCATAGATATATCACAGATGGTTTGGGCTGAAGGGACATCCAGTCCAACCCCCTGCAGTGAC